TACAGATAGATTATGTGTCAACTACCAGGTTAAATCCGTCCGTAGGATGAATATTAGAAGGGCAGTTGTAGATTGCAGTTAGGATATACTTGTTGGTGATCTCGTGATATCGAAATAATGCCGAGATCGTGACAAGGTTTACAGGCGAGGGCTGTAATTAAACGCAACTCAACTCCGTGAACGTTGCCGTCTGCTTAGTGACCAATCAGAATGAGGCGGGAATTATTACATCCGCCATCTTCGTAAGCAATGGCAGTCGGCTTTCCTCGATCTGTGTTTTCTCAGCTATTTTTTGTGTAGCTACATAATTTGATGTTGCAGTGTGCTAAAATACCGCAGTTATTGTAATATTCTAAATGTTCGCGCAAATTTTCTTAGATTCAGCCTTGTTTTCTGGGTTTTTGCTGCTGCCACTCAAGTCGATGTATTTCTTCAGGCAAGCTGGCTAGTCTTATATTATAAAATGTTTATTCGTCTTGTTTTGAGTACTTTTTTCAGACATCGAGAGCCGAAGTTCGTTTCTTCTTTAGCTAAAACAAGCGTTGCTGCGATAAGGAGGTTAAAGCATTGAGTGGGGCTGTAGTTGAATTTCGCGAGCGCGTACCCTCACGCTACTGGTGTTCCGTAAGCGTAGTTAAGTCATTGCTCCCAAATCATAGGACATACCAGTAAGTAGCTATGGCTTAGACGCGTAACCATCAATGGACTACTGCCACACATCATGGTGGTTGGAATAGGTTATACGAAAGCTCAGGCTCAGGGGTTTTCCAAGATAATAAACATATGTACTATATCACTTAAACATATTACATATGAAATGCGTGCTAAGGAGCTCGTGTTTCGCGAATTTCTGACGACGGTTAACGTTATAAAACCAAATAGCTTCACATTTATTGAAAAAGTTTCATTAACAATGAGATATGAAACAAACATTGACATCAGTTTTCTGTTTACAACTCGTTTTGGTAATGCTAAGCTACAGTCTTTTTAGAGTAAAAGTTAGAGACGTAACTCATAAATACTGTAAGTGGTTGTGAGACGAAAGCGGTCGTCCAGCATACTTCTAATAACCTTTTGGGGAAGATGTTGTTAGTTGAGCCTTCTGTAAACAGCTGCATTCGGTTATAGTTATAACGACGAAACAGTAATACCTGTGAAGGCTCACTACTGTTGCATTCTAAATGAAAAAAATAATAGCTTTAGTCAACACAGTGGAATAGATAAATAAACAAACCACATGTTTTCAAGCAAAGAATTTACGCAACTGTGATTTACTCTGAGTTCATGAATATTAATTCATGATGAAATCATCGACTACAACTTGTGCAAAGCATAGCATGTAGTTATTACTGTATTGTACAGCTACTATTATTTTGCTCCCATTTAAGTATTCAAGCCAAGAGTCCCAGATGTCAACAATATTTTAACACTTGTCCACAGCCAGCTGCCCTTAATTAATACAGAACACTCTTCTTCTAGGGCTGTATACTGAAGTTTTACAGGCAAGTAAAAGCACAGACACTTGCTATCCTGTTACCGATGTTAACGCTGGGGAAATAGTTTAATGACAGTGATATTGAAACATTTTCTGTGCTAGATGTACAGTCTACAAATAATCACCAAACACACTTAAAGCTATCTTACAGTGTATGACAGCAGCATCGTCAAAGGCACCTTTTTTCATGTTTTCAAGCAGACTAATTTGAGTGAGTATAATAATTAGAAACAGTCAGCTCTACTTACAAAAGTGATCTCTTTCATTACATGGTTCAAGCACTATACTTAGGTATACTATAATTCTATCGACTAAACAGAATGATATGACGTCTTGGTTGTACAACCAAGAATAATAAACTAAGCAAGTGTCGTAATTATTGTTAAATATGCACAGACATGTTACTCAAATTAGTTAAATATATATAACTAAGCCTATAAACCCAAAACACGAACTGTAGGCAAGTCGAACTTACCTAACAGGAGACAAAGGATATTGTTTTGAGACCAAACGCAATAGTCAGTTGTTCATAAAAACATAGTTTACAGCACAACAAACCTTCCTTCAGTAACACTATACACTGACGGTCTATTTGGAAACAACCAACGATGTGATTAAACTTACCATAACTTGGTATATCATCCCAGCATGCAACGCAGTCGGACGTGGTGAATAAAAATTACGACCAGAGCAAACTTCAAAGCATAATCTACTTATTTAATAAAGATACATCATAAAGTGACAAGTTTTATGATTACATGAACGCAGACATAACCGTTATTACACTGAACGGTACATTAGGTTTACATGGAAGCGTTGCGGATAAATCCACCCCAGGCGAGATTACCGTGCTCACTTCAGTGAGTTCAAGGCCATAACCAACGGGAAAAGTGTTTTTTGGTACAGTCAAACAAAAAAGTACAGTGAAACAATCATTGGTACAGTTGGTTATAATAATAAATGATTCCATTACACCAATCGCGTTTTCTTCATAAAAGTAGATCACTACAAATTTTTAATTTTGATTGTGATCAACAGGAATAAAAGTTCAAAGAGCAAATGAAAAATGATATAATTAACCACATATCATTAACTGAAAACACTTTCCTTTTCATAGAATAGTGACAGGACTTGGGTTGTACGTGTGAATGGTCGTACAGTGAATGAGTGGGTGAATAAATGAGTCACATGTATTACAGTTTACTGAAGCAGCAAGCATAAAATGGCTTAAACTAATTTTATTTATCCAGAAAGATTTAGTCGTCGATGTTACACTGAAGCAATGAACTCGTTCATTAATGTTTGTTTAGTAATTCTTCTTTTGGCGACTCTAATCATGAAACTATGATGGATAGACTCATCTCTACCCGATGTTCTGAAAAGATACAACTTACTGCCGACTAAATGTATGTTTTGATTGAACATTGATTAAGGTTGATCATAATAATCGGGTGAAGTAAACCAAATTGTTTAGTTAATGAAATGGCTTTTTTGATTTATCTGTCATTTTATATTGGAATTCGTTCTCGTAAATTAACAGGGGTGAAACATTTCTTACCATTCAACATATATATATTCAACCTTTCGAATATGCTCTAAAATCCTTCCACCATCATCATTACCGCCAATCCAATAGTTAAATCAGGATTCCTACTACTATCCTGAGTTTGTTTTTCTTGACCACTCAACTTCGAAGTATATTGTCTTTGTGTTTGTGTTTATTCTCGTCGAGCTTGTAGTGACCTACTTTTATCAAGAAAACGCGATTGGTTTAATGGAAACAATTATTATAATAACCAATTGTACCAGTGATTGTTTTACTGTACTTGTCTGTTTAACTGTACTAAAGACATACTTTCTTCCGTCGATTGTGACCTTGCACGAATCGGGTTGCTCTCAGTAGCCACACTTGTACTCTTTTGGCACGATCTCGGTATTCTTTCGATACCACGAGATCGCCAATAAATACATCTCGACTACAGCCATCAACTGCCTTCTTATATTTGGCCTACGGGGGATCTTATCGGTTAACTGGCACGTAGTCTCCATGTAGTGGTGATCATAGTCAACCGCGACTCGACGCCACACTACAAGCTATTGGAGAATAAGTAGTGATCTGACACTGGGATACAACATATTGAGTGTGTCAATTACTTCCAACATGAACTCCTAACTAGAACATCACCGTCAAGTTCTGTGAGGCACCCCTCGAAAAACTACGCATCAAGGAGAAAAAACCCAGGTGTTTTCTCAGTTTTACGCACCAAAGGTTGGCCCCATTTAGAGGCTAAGCGGCCACGGCCTTATCATGGGGTAGCTTTTAAAAGGAACTTGACAAATACCTACTACTTCATGGAATGTGTTGGATACTGGTCTAAAAATCGAATGTTGAATGATTATCAGGAAGATCAAAAGTCTTTAGAGAGGAGTGGATTATCAGGCCCACGTCTCATACAGTTTCGAAACATTTTCGGTATTGCTGTAGATGTGATAATGTTCCCTCCATTCTGCAGTAGGTCAGTTCCATTAATTAAATAGGTGATTTACGGGAATAGTCATTTACATGATCAGACCTCCAGATTGAATGGCGATGTTATAAGTTGATTACTCTTTAAGGAACTGATATTTAGGTCAACAGAATTTATAATCGCTAACAAAGGCAAATAGTTACCTGTACCACATTTATTGAACAGTCATATAGTCCACATTATTGGTGGTGTTTATGTTAACGATTTCATTAGTTCTACCAATTATATTCCATGTCTCCCGAGTCGCGAAAAGTTTTATGATAATGTTGAAACCCAATATGGACTGACGAATGTAATGTTAGTAAGTCATTAGTAATCCGAAGACAGGATGAATTGTTTTAAATGGTTGAGACCTTAGGACTGACCATGTGTAATAATTATGATGTGCCAGCACCTTGAAACGGGCTTCGCAAGTTTAAGACACATTTGGGTTTCACTGGTTATTCTCATGTCATGACAGGAAATCTTCATTAATATATTGCCAAATTTATTGCTTGGTCACACAGCATAAATTTTGATCAAACACTGTGACTTATGGTTCTACCAGATTTACACCTGAATACCATTGGTGTGTTGGACAAAAAGTAATAGGATCAGAAGTGTCATGCTAGCCATTATGAATTGGACGTGAGGTTAACGTATACGTTTAAAGATTATCGATTTACCTGAAGTTGGTTTCATACTCAAGCTGAGCAAGCGTACAGTTTATACCCTTCTTGACGGTGGAATTATGCTTAAAAACATCAAATGCAAGTACTTGCTTCATTAGATTACGTCCAGTTTTGCCTTCAGCGAGCTCTTTATTTGTCACTATACCCACCAAACAAGTGATAAATTCACCAAGACTAGTACGGTCGACTGGAGGGACTGTCTACATTGGACGAAACTTAAGAACGGGAGCTACACTTTGACGCAAAGGAAAGATGACGAAGAAAACAACCTGTTTCTACAGGCCCATCTTAAATATATTGGGAATTGGACAGCGGAAGTTTTGTCGTGAAGGCCGTCGGGCGAAAGCATGTTATATGTTGTAGCACTTCATAACCACTATTGGGATTGAATTTTCTGACCTCTCAAGGAACAGTTTAGCGTCACTTTTTCATAAGATCACTAGAAATAGTCTTCTTATCGTTACTCTACAACTCATAGTGAAGGGCGATGGCAGAAGTAGTAGAACGCAATTTGGAAGATTCCGTTGGCGAGATTCTGTATATTCGAAAAGCGAAACTATTTGACAGATTGGAGACCAAGTAAGTCTGTGTGTAGTTTCGTCATTACCTAAGTATGTTTCGTATCTATCTTAATGTGCAGCCAATATGCAATATTACATGTCATGATATTAATATTACATCTTATATCCATGTTTCAAACGCAAGGTTAGCGGACTAGATTTAGGCCATCAAGTTAGGCATATTTAAATATAATCCACTGATAGGTTTTTGTCCATCTTGAAGTAATATACTGACGTGGCGGTATTTAGAAAGGACAGTGGTATTTTTCCTCGCTGAGTAAATTTCATTGTTTTGATCGTTTATTACGTATCAAGACTACTGTTTTTCACTTTAATTGAATTTATTTCAGTTAAAGTATTCGACTAAAGTATCGTTTTTACTGTTTTGTCGTTGGTACTCTTTAGTACCTCTTTTTCAACTGTATCTGTTAGTACTTTTGGTCCTAGCAATCTACAGCTCTTCACATTTTTTGGTCATTGATCATTTTTTTGTTTATGGGTATCATCGCATATTGAAAAAACCCCTCCTAAATGACCGGACAGTGTAAAAAAAGCAGTTGCCAACGTCCGGGTTGTCGTTATCCTGTTGAAAGCGGCATGCAGTGCGACGAGTGCAAAGGCTGGTACCACGAAGTTTGCACGAACTTAACGCCTGCTGCTTTCAAACGGTTCAGTAAGAAGGGTTGTGTGTGGCTTTGTCAACAGTGCTGCTCGGATGCAAACAGCTTGTTAACCGAGGCCATCTCACTGGTTGATGCTGCAAAGAAGTGTTTTAACAAGCATAGTCGGAACGTGTCAAACAGCACTCGATCTGTTGACACGCAAATCAATGTGAAGGAAACTAAGGTGAGTCCGGTGATAGATGACTCACGCCCGTCAAAGAAGGAAAAGCAGTCTCCAAAGAGGCCTGCCTTAAAAAAAAGCTCAAGAAAAGTAGGGTCTTCTGTTCCCCGTCTCCCAGATGGGATCCAACAGGAAGCACCTAGGAGCCACAATCGCAAGGCTCGATCGGTTTCAAATGGTAAACATAACACGACCCCTCAGGTCGTCGACAACCCCCCAAAACCCAACACTAGGTTTGACGCAACTGTTATTGCTTCTACCAGCTCCGTTGACGAATGGGTAAAGGTTGTAAGGAAGAAAAGTATTGATATAAAAGGGAAACCTGCCCCCGTAAAAGTGGTTGAAAAATCGAAAGCTGATCATAGCGACAGATCAGCTATTTTTCATAGAATTAAGGAGAGCGATAGCTCTGAACCTAAAGCTCGTTTTGAGCATGACATTGTACTGATTAGGCAGCTGCTTAATCAACTCATGCCTCAAAATATGACTGGGGTCACCTTGCTAAAGGTGTATAGACTAGGGAGTCTAACGGACTCGAAACCAAATCATTCCAGACTGCTTAAAGTAGTATTCGGCTCTTCAAACGAACGTGACCTAATTTTACAAAATGGACACAAATTAAAGGGTTCAGGAGTCTTTATCCGAAAGGACCTACCGTTGGCAGACCGTGTTAAAAGACGGGAAGCCGAGAAAGAACTACAACATAGGTTAGACGCTGGCGAAAAGGACCTGAAAATTGTAAATTTTCGGGTTGTAAGACTTCGACAGAGAATGATGCCGAAGCCACTCTGGGTGAAGCACGAAGGCACTTAAACAGGCTTCGGATCTGTTACACCAATGCACGAAGCTTACTTAATAAGCGATCGGAACTAGGTGTACAGATTGACTCTATAAAGCCAGATATAATCGCAGTAACAGAAACCTGGCTGACACAGGCTATAGATAGTATAGAACTTGATTTCGAGGGCTTTACGTTAGTAAGGGCCGACAGAACACAAAAGCGCAAAGGAGGGGGAGTAGCCCTATTCATTAGGAATGCTATCCCATTTGCCATTATCGATAGTGTATCCCATGAGAGTGGGATGTGTGAATTAGTTAGTCTTCGCTTAAAATGCAAGGGACAAGAGCTGCTGATTGGTTTGGTCTATCGCAGTCCAAGCTGTGAGGCAAATGAGATCCTGTTAAGCAGTCTCAATACTTGGTCCCAAAGTGGTCGATGTCTAATCCTAGGGGACTTTAATGCACCTATGGTAGACTGGGAAAATCTGCGAACTAAATCGTCGGAGAATTCTTTCGAGCAGGAACTAGTTGATGGGGTTATCACATGTGCTCTAGTGCAAAATGTGAAAGAAGCGACAAGGTACGATCCAGACACTGAATCATCCTTATTAGATCTTATACTGACTCACTATGAGGATGATGTTGCGAACCTCCACCATATGCCACCCTTAGGTAAAAGTGACCACGCAGTTTTAACTTTTGACTTCCATATAACTGCCAGTCATGAGGACGCGTCAGTCCAGTCCAGACCCAACGTCTGGAAAGCAAACATACCAGACATCATGCACTCAGCATCGTTAATAGATTGGACAATAGACCCAGAGTCCTCCATTGAAACGGCCTGGGACGCATTTCGAAAATCATACTTAAAAGTTACCACGCCTCACATCCCTTGGAATATACCAAAGGGGCCGAAAAACTCACCACCATGGTTCAGTAGGGAGGTCCGTATCCTTCTCCGTAAGAAAAGGAAAACGTGGGATAGATTTAGGTTACTGGGGACTGATGAGTCAAAATCTCAGTATCGAAAGGCTCGGAACACTTGTGCCTCGACCCTCCGTAAGTCTAGAAAATTGTACGAAGAAAAACTTGTTAAGGAATCCATAGAATGTCCTAAACGCTTGTACTCCTATATAAACCAAAGGACAAGGAGAAAAGGAAATATTCCTGCTCTATGGGGAGACAGTACTGCTTCATCATTAGTGGAGGACGACTTTGGTAAGGCTCAAGCGTTCTCGAACTACTTTAGCAACGTGTATACCATAGAAGCGCCCTTCTCGTCAGCGTATACAGATCCCCCCATACATACACTGGATAGCGTGACCATTAAAGAACTCGATGTCTTTGGTCTGCTAAATAAGCTTGACATAGGTAAATCCACGGGGCCCGATGAATTACATCCTAGGCTACTGAAGGAATTATCTAACCTCGTTGCGAACCCTTTAAGTACATGCTTTAACCTATCCGTTACGCAGGGTCGCTTACCGAAAGATTGGAAAAACGCCATAGTAAGTCCTGTCTTCAAAACAGGCACGAAACACAAACCTGAGAACTACCGCCCCGTTAGCCTAACTAGTGTGGTTGTTAAAATATTAGAAAAGATTATTCGGAAGGAGCTGTTTAAGTATCTCGATAAAAACCGGATCCTCTCGGAGAAGCAGCATGGCTTCAGAATAGGTTATTCTTGTCTCACTAACTTATTAGTGGCTCGTGAAAGCTGGTGTGCTCTTAAGGACCAAAAGCTACCTGTAGACGTCGCCTTCATTGATTTCAGTAAAGCTTTTGATAAAGTTCCGCACAACCGGCTGTTATATAAGTTAAGACATGTTGGGATTGGAGGTAATTTATTGATGTGGATAAAAGACTTCTTAGTTGGGCGTCAACAAAGAGTAAGGGTGAACTCCAAGTTGTCTAGCTGGGAAACCGTGCTTAGTGGAGTCCCCCAGGGTACAGTTTTGGGGCCAGTGCTATTCCTCTTGTATGTAAATGACCTTCCTTGTCTCCTATCATCATCGGTCTTGCTATATGCTGACGATGTCAAGATATGGAGAACGATACGATGTAAGAGTGATAGCTTAGAACTTCAAAATGACCTGAAGAAGTTATCTGAATGGTCTCAAACATGGCAGTTGCCGATAAATACTTCCAAGTGTGTTGTGATGCATATCGGTCATCAAGGCACAGATACATACACGATGAATAACACTGAGCTACCTGTCGTCCAGACATATAATGACTTAGGAGTTATCGTTAGTCAAGACTTAAAGACTACTGCACACTGCCGTGCAATAGCCGCCAAAAGTTTTAGAACGTTATGGTCAATACGTAGAGCTTTTAGTCATGTCGACGCTAAGACGTTTTTGACTTTGTATACAGTGTTCGTTCGCCCTAAACTTGAGTACTGCATACAAGCGGCTAGCCCCTGCTTTAAAAAAGACAGTGAGCTTCTGGAAAAGGTTCAGAGAACGGCGACTAAGCTGGTTCCCGGAATAGTGAAGCTTCCGTATAAATCTCGACTGGCCAAGCTGAACCTTTTCCCGTTGTCATATCGCAGAACTAGAGGCGACTTGATTACAGTCTACAAATTGCTTAGTGATAAATTTGCACCTAACATGCCCTCATTTTTCTTGTCTTCCAAAACAGAGAATTTACGAGGACACTCCAAAATAGTTCATAAGCCGAGAACAAATTACTTGTCAGCTGACTACCGACTTTCCCATCGAATCATCAACGAGTGGAATTCACTACCTCAGCACGTGGTTGAGGCTCCATCCGTCGACTCTTTCAAAAGAAAGTTGGATCAACTGAGAGACCACCATTCCCAGGACTAACATAGGCCATCGAGCCTCTTGTCCTTCCCAAACTGAAACTGAATATTGAAAGAGTGTACAGCGATGTGTGACGTAATACACTTCATATTGTTTTGTACTTGTATTGTATGGAATATGAGATTAACAGATTCTAAGTGATTTCACAATGTCCCTAAGATACAGTGAGCGCTTCTTCTCAGATCTTATATTTTTCAATGTGCATTCCTAGGTAAAAGATGGCAATAATGCGGTAGGCAGGTGTTCATGTTCAGCATATGGCAAAACCAATATATATGAATATCTCTATAATTGTGGTTAGCTTAGCTGCAAAATATCCCTACGATGCTTGAGTATTTTTGCGTTTGGGGACAGTATTTCTGAGCTTACTGAAGACAGTTATCTCGACATGCGTAATCTTACAAATTTACGTTGTTTAACCGATACCCAACGTATATCCCTTTAATGATTAGTACTGACTAAGAGTAGCCAGTTAGCTCATGTTGGACCACCAAGTCGAGGATGTTTACACCAAATCAACATGTTTCTTTTTCTGACGTCGCACAGATCATGTCTTGTTTAACTATCGGGTCAATTTCTATAACGAAAATCAGGAACCAGTTTATCATAAAAAACAATTGTTTTAAGGCGATTAAATAAAGCCCAAGTTGTTTTAGGCTGTTTCATGGAGACATTCTGTCCCAAAATTATAGAATCGTAATCACTTTATTGTCTTATCCCTCATTTTTGACGTAACTACATGTAGAAATACTACGTTAGGTAATCTCGTATTTACTAACTTTTCTAGTATGTTGAGAAGACTTCGTTTTATTATTATTAGGCTTCATAATAGTCCCACTAAACGGGTGTGGAAGTATTAAACACGCATGAAGTCGCGTCATGCAGTATATTTGCTCACTTATTCCTGAGCGCATAATTATGCTTATTTTACACCTAGTACTTGCAATTAATTAATAATTAGAACTGATTTTTCAAGTATTCTGTGAGATTTTTCGATGTTACTTTTTCTTTTATTGCTCAATTAATTTATTCCTCTTCTCGTTTCCGTAGTGAAATAGTTCGTAAACGAAGACACCATGAATACAGCCTTCAGAAGCGTAACAAACGGATTTTAGACTATGACGCCTACATTAGCACTGAAATAACGATAATGAAATTGTTACGCTTTCGTCGCCAGGTTGAATTCATTTTCATAAGACTTATGTTCTAGATTACAAACGATAGCAGATATCTCGACAAGATTGAGAAGTCAATTATTAGTCGTCTAGTACGCTTGCATCGGGTAATTTTTTTTTCTATGACAACTTGATGTGCTCTATAGCAATTGTGTTACAGGTTCCAGTCTCATCTTGACCTTTGGATGAGATTTATTCATTTTTGTAAAATTATTAACCGGCATTTGTCTGTTGTACGTATATGGAATAATGTACTTCAGATACATGGTCGCACAGAACCAAGGCTTTGGATTGCTGCAGCCGCATACCATTTACATCATGGTGTTAGATCGAAAGCTCGTGAAAATCTACGACATTTTGACAGACAAAAAGGTGATTTGGTAAAGACGCGGAAAAGATTACTGAGTGAATATATGATATTGGATCGTCACGCATCAGAAGCACAAAAGAAAGAAATAAACGAGCTTATGAAAGAGTTAAGTAAGTCGCCAAATAAAATAACATCTCATTTTTATGTGTCCGCTCTCTATTCTGAATGATGTTTCGACCAGGTTTAGATAAACAGAAAAACTTGAATGTAAGGCATTTTGTTTGGAAATTTTAGTTGGTTGACCGTTCCTATGTACATAATAAATGTTCTTAATATATTAACATACTAAAACACATTATGTGGTCAGTAAATATGTTCGCCTTATTACGTTCCCTATTGACCTACGTTTGCGTGTTTCAAGTTTTTAAATGAACTTATCTACTATCTAACTCTAAGATGCCGTCCAAAACATCTGAATAAATACAAATATATTTGTGTTACCAATATATACGTGACTCCAGACTGCACATCATCTGCGTTATCTGTTTTCGCTGATGAATTCACTGAGTTCGCTGTTACTACCTTCAGTGGTTCACCTTGAGTTGTATGCGGTGATTTCAATTCATGTGACTGTCGTTTCCTTACATCACTAGGTCACCAAAATGTAGTAGATTTTCCTACTCATTTGGATGCTTATTTAGACTTCGTTTTCATTAATGATGTGGATATAGATGTGACTCGTAAACGTGCTCCATTGTCTAGCTCGGATCACCGTATAATGCATGTTCTACCTAAAGTATATGGAAAGCATGGGAAGAGTACACTCTCACATCAAACCAAGAAAGTCAAATATAGGAATTACTCAGAAGAAAATATTCGAAATCTGAAAAACATGTTTCATACGACTAACTGGGAATTATTTACAGACGACTCACTGGGAATCACTACTGATGTTATCACTTGTTACCTTAAATTCTGTTTTGATATTTGTTGTCCCACTGAAACCATTTTTGTAAGATTTGATCGACTTACATCTTCACAACTAAAACGACTACGGAGGGTGAAAGGAAAAATGTACAAGGAGAAAAACTCTAATGAAGTTCGTAAGCTAAATGGTCTGATAAACCTAGAGGTTAGACGTCTCAACTCTATGTTTACTCAAAAACTTGTCTTGGTCTTGTAAAAACTCTCCAAGTATGTGGAAACTCTTAAAAGAGCTTACAGGTGACAGACACATTAGGAGCGATAACCAGCTGAATGTTTGTGACTTAAATAAGTCTTTTGTACGTCAGTCATCTGATGTAATGCTCCCTATATCCACAGGTTTAAAGAATAGTTGTGTTCCTAGTTTCACTGAAACTGATATCCTAAGATATCTCCAATCATTTAATTTATCCCGATGTTTAGGACCTGATTTTATCCCAAACATTTTTTAGGAAATGTGCTGACGTTCTTTGTTATCTATTCACGACTATCTTTAACAGATCCTTCCCATCTAATCTCATACCAAAAATGTGGATAAAGATAAAGATAATCCCTGTACCCAAGAAAGTATCTGATGATAAGAATGTGAAATTTAGACCTATTACAATAACTTCACCCTTCCTTGTGCTGAGAATTCTATATTGTACCAAAATATAATATTGGATAAAGCCATTAATAATAATAAAACCTTTTAATGTTGTCGACTTGGCATCATTCACCAATTTTTTTATTCTTACCTTTGTTACCTTAATTTTTAAATGCTCTAGTATTCTTTTTTTTCAACACAAAAATTTTAGAAGAAAATCAAGCTTCCTTAGATAAAGCAGCTAAAGAAATGGTCAGAGAACGTCGTCTTACTTGGGACAGAGCTCATCTGAATGCCATTCGGGAAGCTCGTCATTTGATAACTGAAGGAATCTCTTTAAATCCTGAGTGTGATCTATTACATTTGGAATTAGCCAAGTTAGAGATCAATGCTTTTGATTTTTTCCGCACTCGTGTCCTCCCACGATATGAAAACTGTGGTGTTGATTCGGCCAACACATCTGCAGATATCAACCTGAATGGATGTAATAAAAAGAAGAAACTAAAAACATTAGAAAGAGAGGCAGCGGAAAACAAGAAATTCGTACGTTGTACTTTTTGTAAAGTCGTAATTCAGAAACTTCACTTAATAATCACAATTGATAATATGCACAAATGGTTTACGATGGGTTGAATGCTGTTGTATGATTTATTATTCTCATGCTGTTGTCAGCTTATTATTTGCAGTCTCTCCTGCCCAACCACTTATTGACTCGATCATGTATAATTGTTAGTTTTCGTTCTATGGTGTGGTGTGGTAGGGTATGTCTGAATATAAACTAAGTATGTTTGCGATATGATATTCCTATAGTGGAGGCTAATTATTGTGTTTTGAACTCAACGGGGAGCATAGGGAGGGAAGTCGCTATATCGGGAATCAACAAGTGATCCAAGGCTACTCTTGTTGGTTGACCTGTCACTGGTTGGCTCAGGGACGGAGTAATGGCAATCGGTGTTCTGATTGTTGGTCTTTTCATGTGATATTAGTTAGTGGCCCTAAATAATAATACTCTTTAAGTAGGAAGCTTATGGAAATAATCCAATTCACATTTATTATCCGTCTTTTTCTGGCATCAACTGGAAAATTATTGAGACGAGTGTGCTGTGGACGGATATTTTGCTGTGGTTTTAGGATTCTCATCAACGTCTACCCATGATTATTAGATCTGTAGTACAAGACTATCTCATATTGACCAAAGTTACAAATGTAGTCTCTTAGATTAAATCAACTGTCCAGTTTCTCCTTCGTTATAGTTCTCCAATTAATGTTAGTATGTCATTAAAGCTAGCTTCGAACAGACGTTTATGTGTTAAAAGAGTCAATGTAAGTATAATTAGGTTATTCCCAACAAAAATGTGGATATATTAACTGGTAGATTTTCTGTTAACGTATTCAAAATACTTCATATATTAGTCATATTTTGATCCTTTCGAAGTATTACTCAAGTATGTTGGGACAATTCACATGATTATATATTGAGTGAACAATGTTGAGGTTAGACTCAGGTTGTCAGATAAAGGTGGCAAGTCGGTTGGTGAGGTAGTGAATCTTCATTGACTAAGGTTGTTGCGATATGTACTACATTTGCCTAACCACCGCACACGACGCGCGATAATAGCTGGTGTAGGAGTAGCTTAGAATTGGTCTCGAGGCGGCCAAACCGAAACGTGGGATTAGTTCATGATAAATTAAGTCTTGTAGGTAGATGGGGACTATATGGTTAGGGTTCGCGTGACTATAAAAACTAATGTTTAGAGACTCCTGAGTGGCGGTTCTGAATCTGTTGCAATGGTGCAGGTGGATTCACTCTTTGTATTCCTTTACATTATCAATATCTTAATAATCTTAATTTTTTTATTCCACAAATCCACATTTTTTCGAATTGTATCCCCTGTGCCTAATTTTTCTGCTACCACCAATGCTTATACTAATGATATCTCACTGTGTTGATGTGATGGGTTAACTTGAACAGATGCGGATATATACCAGGTTCTGCATATGACTGAGTATTTCGTTACTTACTATTTTCACTGGTTGAAATCATGAGTCAATTGAAGCGAGACCACCATGGAAAACCTGAAAGCACTGGACGGCCGTTCCGTTCTAGTATGGAACTCTTCAGCAGTGCGCACCCACGATTCCACCCCCCGCGAGATCCGAACCCAGGACCTACCAGTCTCGCGCCAAGCGCTTAACCAACTAGACCACTGAGCTGACTGGCATCCAACGGTGTTAATGTCTAACTTCAACCAATCCACAAAGTTGAGTCACCGTACACCATTGTTTTCAGTGAGTTGATATCTCACAACAGACCTGGTTGAACTCCACTGGTAACGGCTTTTCACTAGAACTCCAGGAGTATCTCTTGAAGCCAGTCACTAGTGAGCAGATGACTATTATCAGAAGGAGTTTTGTGGAGATTTTAGAAATTTCACTGGTTGAAATCATGAGTCGATTGAAGCTAGACCACCATGGAAATCCTGGAAGCCGTGACCAGTGGAGTTCAACAAGGTCTGTTGTGATATATCAACTCACTGAAAACAATGGTGTACGGTGACTCAACTTTGTGGATTGGTTGAAGTTAGACATTAACACCGTTGGATGCCAGTCAGCTCAGTGGTCTAGTTGGTTAAGCGCTTGGCGCGAGACTGATAGGTCCTGGGTTCGAATCCCGCGGGGAGCGGGATCGTGCATGCACACTGCTGAGGAGTCTCATACTAAGACGAGACGGCCGTCCAGTGCTTTCAGGTTTTCCATGACTTACTATTTTGTTGGTTTTTTCTCCTTGAATTTGTAGATGAATTTAGTAACTGAAAATGCAGAATTTATTGCTAACGGAGGAGCTGTCAATTTAGTGATAGAATCGCTACTATCTCGTTGGGTTAATAATAGTAAAATGCTTGAACTACTTCATCAAATCTTGTCAACTGTTCCGCAAATAATCGACTCACATTTAATTGAGAAAGTGGCTAACTTGTAAGTTCTTTAGAAGTTGGTTTTTCCCATTTGATTCATATTTAAAATGTATGTTGTCTAAGATGGTTTTATCTAAAAATAGGAACTTTTCGTCCTTACAAAAAGTCTATTATATATTATATGATCACTACAATTGTGTTTGAATTACCATGTTTTCGAAAAATAACACTCAGGAATAAACTTCGTTCAGTGAGATTAGTATTGCTTTATACTATCCAATGTTCAATAATGCCAACACTGGTAGATAATTACTTGTCAGATTTTACCTCCAGCTGTATACATCAATTTACGTGTACTTAGAAATTAAGTACAACCGAGGGGTAGGAATCAGGGTATTCACATTGTCTTCTGAATATTTCCAGAAGAGCTTAGGTTTTGTAGGCCAGGATAATATTTCATTGTGCACCTCACATGTTGAACAAAAGACACGATGTGGATAAGTGCATTCAAAGTAAAAAGCAAACAAATGGTATTATCTTACCTTACTGTGATTTACAAAGGTCGGAGTAGTTAGAAGGTTAAACATCAATCTTCATTATTTATTTGAACACATATATTGGCACAAGGAGGCCCCGACCGCTGTTGCTACCTTGACGTGGTGGTCGGGCTTACCTATCGTGATGAAGCAACCGAGCTATACTGACTGGAACAACCGTTCCTCAAGGTCCTACCATGTCAGACAGGTCGGCTGAAGAGCGGTAAGACTAAAAGCAACAAACCCAAGGTCCGAAGGCGAAGTCGTACTGCCCCCAAATGCCCTGGTACGGCCGAGAGTGGGGAGAGTCCGCTCTCCCTCTCGAAATGTTCTCACGTGGCCACGCGTATGTAGCCTCTGCCAGGGCAGTCCTACTCACTGCCTTCTCGTGGCGGGGGTGTTGTTTACAAAAATGAGAGGACGAAAAGCGAATGTCCGGCGCTTTAACCGGATTCCAAATCAAAGGTGCACATGAGCTCCAGTATCCTGAAGGGACAAATGGCGTATGAACCAATTGTTGGTCACCGGCTTCCATGGGACTGCATCTCCTTACGATGCTCTACTGCCTTGTGGATCAGACCTTCAGGTCGAAGGCTCGGGGTGTGGCCCCCTAAGAAAACCACCTGCTTCGGTTTGGGCACCCGGGCAGTATCACAGCCTTCACACATTGAATGAGATTTTTGTGGCGCATATGTATTTGGTGCCTCCTTGTACCAATATCTATGTGTTAAAATAAATAAATAAATAAATACAGAGGTGTGACAGCAGTAAGATGTTTCCTTCAGACAACCAGCATGACAGCGATGCTGCCTTCCCACAAGGAGGGGTGGGGTTAGAAAAGGTCAACCCTAAAATGCACTCCTCGTCTTATCCCACGTATATCCGTCTCCGCTCCCGGGTCACTAAGACCACCTCTAATCCAATTTCCTTTTCAGGTACCTCCAGAAGAACCCTTCCACACTGTGGGCAACCGGGAAGTGATAACCGCCCTTATGCCTCTAGCAGGACTCAAGACCACTGTATTCATAATCAACCTCCCTCTTCAATTCCTGTTATTTCTCCTACATCGACTTTCAACGCTAAACTTCCTCTTTCGGTTTCCTCCTCAAGTGTCACCATAGCCAACGATTCTAATGCGCAAACCACTGTCCCAAGTCTATTGAAACCTCGCTCCAAACTACACATTGGAGCCTTTAACGTACGCACCCTATGTCAAATCGATCAGCAGGCTTCCTTGGCTAGAACTCTGTATTCTCGTACCATTGATGTGTGCTATGACTCTGAAACATGCAAACAGGATCCCAGTGTGGTGATAGTGTGTGGGGATAGCACTAAGCATGAGGGCGGAACAAGCAATATTAGACTGGATCCCAGCTAACAGTTGTTTATATGCTGTTCAGCTAAACAGCTTCGTAAGAATTCGGAAGGATAGGGACACACGTCGTTGCCCTTTTGTCGTTTCTGCCCATGCTCCTACTAACTGCAGCCGGTTTGAAGTGAAAGATGAATTTTACAGAAAGCTATCTGAACTTCTTCAGAAAGCTAAACACTCAGACATAGTACTCGTAGCAGGTGACTTTAATGCCCAGATAGGTAGTTTAAACCAAACAGAAAGGCATTTAGGTGGGCATTTCAGTATTCCGGCACAACGAACAGATAATGGTGGTCGTCTGCTGCAACTGTGCTCAGACAATCGTTTATTTTTAGCAAACACAAATTTTAAGCATAAAGAGAGACATCGTCTAACATGGCGATCCCCTACACCAAACCAACGATGGACTCAAATAGACCATATTGCCATCAGTCATCGTTGGAGAGTTGATCGAAGATTGCCGCTCATTCTGGTGTACCTGCTTGGACTCCGACCATGCCCTAATACGGGCACGCACGCACACGCAAAAAAGCCACACTAAAAAGAACCCTTTAGAACTGGATTGAGTAGCGAGAAAACCAAAAGTAGGTTCCAGGAACAACTGAGGTCACAATTAGATAGTTCTGAAAACAAGGTTGACCCAGATGCTGGTTGGAAAGATATACAAACAACTGTGAAAACAGCCGTGACATCTATCAGTGATTTAAACCACAGGGTTACAAAGAACCAATAGATTTCTTCAAGGTCTGTTGCACTGATGGATTCTCGTAAACTCATCCCATCAGGCTCTGAACACGATGAAGAGCAAAAACAAATCAGATCTAGGTTAACCAAAAGTTTAAGGAACGACCGTGAGCAGTGATGGTCAACGAAAACAAAAGAGATGGAAAAGGCAGCGGCTGTAGGTAACACCAGACAGCTCTACAGACTAATAAAAGAAACTGGAATTAATAAGTCAAGTGTAAGTCAAACTATTTCGGAAAAAGACGACACTCATCTGCTTCCAGTCCAGACGTTTAGAACGATGGACGGAACATTTCAGAGAACAGTTCAGCTGGCCTTCAGCTACTCTACAACTACCCTCCATTCCCAGACAGTGTGAATGGAACATTGAAGTAGGTCCCCCAACTCTAGCAGAAGTTCAAAAGGCTATAGTTAATCTGAAACGAGGAAGGGTAGCTGGTCCAGATGGATTGGCTCCAGAAGTCTTTAAGGATGGTGGTCCAATTTTAGCGATTAGGTTGACTAATATTTTAGCTAAGATCTGGGAGTTAGACGTTATTCCATCTGACTGGTCACAATCACTTATCGTCCAAATATATAAGAGAGGGTTAAAATCATCCTGTGACAACCATAGAGGGATTAGTTTAACTAATATAGTATCTAAAGTACTAGCCTCGATAATTATCAGACGCCTAACTAAGACTCGTGAACTGCAAACACGAGAGAATCAAACTGGCTTCAGACCTGGTCGTGGCTGCATCGACCACATATTCACCATTCGTCAGGTTCTAGAACATAGGCATACTTATCGGCGTCCGACAATGGTGGTCTCTCTTGACTTAAAAGCAGCATTTGACTCCGTAGATCGCGAGATTCTGTGGCAGTGTCTGTCATTGAAAGGCGTACCTCAGAAGTACATAAACCTTGTGAAGGCTCTTTACTCGAACACTGCCAGTCGAGTCAGAGCTTATGGCGAACTGTCATCTGATTTTGCAACCTCAAGTGGTGTCCGTCAAGGCTGTCCACTTTCTCCATTTTTGTTTAACTTCATCATAGACCTACTGATGGAAATAACATTCTCGTCTACTGAATTCCCGGGCATTGATCTCCTTCCAGGAGGTCCACTTATCGACTTAGAATATGCAGATGACATAGTCCTGTTTGGTTAAGACGCTGATAAAATGCAGAGTCTTTTGGTAGCACTAAGCAACAATGCCAGAATGTTTGGAATGCACTTCTCTCCCTCTAAATGCAAGCTGCTGCTTCAGGACTGGTCTGCGTCAACACCTGAACTAAGGATAGGGAGTGAAGTAGTCGAACGCGTCGACAACTTCACTTATCTTGGAAGTCTGATCAGCCCTAATGGGCTGGTATCGGACGAAATCTTAGCACGGATTCGAAAAGCTCGTTTGGCTTTTGCCAACTTGTGTCACCTATGGCGAAGGCGAGTTATCCGTTTATCAATAAAAGGACGAGTATACTGCGCGACAGTCCGTTCTGTTTTAATTTACGGCAGCGAAACATGGCCATTAAGAGTAGAAGACACTCATAAGCTACTAGTATTTGACCACAGGTGCCTCAGAAATATTGCTGGCGTCTGCTGGGATCACCGGGTAAGTAATAGTGAGGTTAGACGCAGGGTATTAGGGAATGATGGTGAGTCAGTTGATGGGGTTGCAAATCTTTGTCAATTGAGATGGTTGAATCACGTGCCACGTATCTCCGAACACCGACTACCTCATGCGCAATGCTGTGACTAATGTTGGGTATGGTTGGAAGAAAGTTAGAGGTGGCCAAACCAAAACGTGGCATTAGTGCTTGAAGTCACTAACTTCTAGTCTGAGCCATGTTGGTAGATGCAGACTACTTGGTTGGAGTCGGCGTGACTATCGTAACCAATGGTTGGAGACTCTGGGTGACATGGCTCAGAATCGATCACAATGGCGTCGGTGTATACACTCTCTGTCTTCCCTTAAACTAATAGATTAAAATCGCTTCATATCTTTCTTTCTACGAACTAATTCTTTCTTCCTGTACTATATCCTTATCGCAGTCTTCCTTTTATATATTACCACCTCTGAATTAACTACTTTTATGAATCCGGTGTCCATCTTGTTGTGTTGATGTGAGGTATGGCAACTTGGAACGATGCATATATGTGCCTGGTCCTACGTTGTAGCTGACTGAGAAGGAGGCACCAAATATATATGCGCCACATAAATCATTCGATTTATGTGGGGGCTGTGATACTGCCCAGGTGCTCAAACGGAAGCAGGTGGTTTCCTCAGGGGGCCACGCCGGTAGCCTTCTACCTGAAGGTTTGATCCACAAAGCAGTGGAGTAACATCAAGATATTCAGTCCCATGGTAGCCGGTGACCAATAGTTGGTTCGTACGCCATTTGTTCCTTCAGGATACTGGAGCCCATGTACACCATTGGTTTGGAATCAGGGTTTTCCAACTCTTAGGTGGACTCTCTATATCCACCAACCCGGTGAAAGCGCCTGACATTCGCTTTTCGTCCTCTCATTTTCGTAAACAATAGTAATGCTGTGAGAAGACAATGGGTAGAACTTCCCTGGCAGAGGCTATATACGCGTGGCCATGTGAGAGCACCTCGAGAGAGAGCTGACTTTCCCCACTCTCGTTCGTACCCAGACATTTGGGGGAATGGAATCATTAGTTGACTTTCAACTGTTTTAGTGTCAGAACTGATCATTATCAACAACTTTGTTCCTCCTTTTAATTCTAAATATCAGTTATTTGAACTAAGAGCATTTTTATAGTCACATATCCTTAGAATTTTCCCTGATGATATAACGCCATAAAGTTATGGTTTCAAAAACTCATAAAACTATCGTTCCAATTACAAATGTAAACCTCCATTAATAGCGTACTTAATTATACTACTCTACAAGTTTACTTTCGAGACAGTATACTGCTCTTCATGTTCATTAAAATTCCAAGTTTAATGAACTGATTAGCTTATAAGGAGCTATGAGATGACATCAAATTACCTATTGAATTCATTGTATTCTGCAAAACGTGTTATTCTCACTTTATTTATAACTTTTGATAATAGGAAATTACTTAAAATGACATTGTATTATATAGTTGCAGACGTATATTGAAGATCACTTAAGCTTTTATGATTATCGTCATTGACTTCAGTAGCCATAATTTCCTCCTCTACCACTTTTCTTCTTATTGTTACAAAAGTTCATTTGAATACTAATAAAGGTTTCTTTCTGTCGTTTTTTTAATCCCCAGTGTAAACAATGCCAAGGAAGTAGATATTTCTAAGTCTTTGGAAAAAGTTGAGGTAATAAACTAGTTTATCATCTTTTTTATTATTATTGTCGCTTGTCGCTTTAATTGATTTGTTTAGTATTGATCAACATAGGGTTAGACATAAATAAAACCAATTGCATAATTTTACACTTGACTTTAAACCAGACTTGTTTTGTGTGGGTTGACAATTTTATATGGTTTTTGGAAAATTAATTTTCAGAAGAGGTCAGCTACAGTTTGTTGACGTAGTTGGATGTGATGGGGATATATAACTTGAATGGATGTTTTTTGATGGTGTTACTTTCTTCAAGCTGTATGATTTATTTGTCGAACTCTCGTTGCTGTTTTAAACATAGTCATCAGTAGAAGTGAGCTTTTTAAAAATTATTCGATAAGTACTAGATCAGTTTGTTCTGTTGACCTTATTTGTGGACAGTCATCATCTCAGATTTTAATGATAAACATATTTTTTGCTATATCCCAATGAGTAGAAAATTGTGCTTCTAACATTGTATCCTCTGTACTATTTAAACTTGTGTTAATTTAACTCAGTTATTTATTTATTCTGAAGACGTGGCTCACTTCAAGTCACGAAACGTCAGAAATACAATTTTCTACTTATTAGTATATAAAAAATACATTTGTCATTAACTTTCTATTCAATGCTCAATTTATTTGAAACTATCAAGTTCAACATTCGCAAGTTTTGTTACCACTCCTGTGTTGACTGTTTTATTTGGTTGACATTTTCCGTGTCGATTCATAAGTTTAATCAATATTGATATGTCTATTGATTGTAGATTGTTCTGAACGTATTGCTTCTGAAGGTTATTCGGTACTTTTTCCTCTATCCGAAATTGTGATATTTTCTAATTCAAATTCATATCCGTAGTTATCTGGGCAGACGGATATAAGTAATAATAAAATATATCCTTTCTCAGAAAGTCTATGTCTGTTAATACGGATGTAGTATTTGGAAGAAACAATAAAATTTCCATGTCAATTGATGACTGAATTACACATGATATGTTAAGACTAGTGATACTACAATATTGTCCCTCAAGTGCAGATGGATGAAGCTAGATTTCAGCCCATAATGATACCTATATTATTATAAATTGAGAATTTAAGCATTAAATATGTTTTACCAAATATAACATTATCCTTTCATTGTCAAAGTTTATGTCATAAACGAGTAACAAATATTGGTCACTTTTATTCCAGGCCCCATTAGAATGTAGAACTCATGGAATTCGATCAACACTTTCTGATCAGTTGGTCGAAATTCACCAAACCATGCTGGATAAAGGTGTGGAAGCTGTTATACACTTATGGAATTCCTGGTATTTACCTTCGACGGGTCATTCTTTACAAACCTCGCCTTTCAGATTAATCAATCCGTCATCTCCTGAAGCTGTTGGTTTACTACGATCTCGTTTAACTGCACTTTCTCTTTACTCTGTGTATGAATTAAACGATCAGTCATTGCCAAAATCAACTATAACATCAAACGAAATGGGCACAAATGAACAGGAAACTAAATTGCACAATGTTTATCACCAGAAACGCCAATTTTTGTCCTCTGAAGTTAATAAAACTCGAGGCTTGTTTGATTTACTGAGTACTTCACAGTGGGGTAGTCACTGTCCAGGTGAATCCAACACACTTTCTGTCTTTTATTTCCCGGTTAGATGTATTTTTATAAATGAGGTATACGTAAGCGGTGTCCATTTGTTTTGCGTGAAATATTGACTAGTAGTAGAATCCATAACGCCATTTTCATCCTATTTATAAATCATCATCTATAAGCACCTATATCCAGATCGTAGCTGCTATCTTGAGGTGGAGATCGGATTTGCCTCTTGTAGTGATCCAATCGGGCTATGTTGACCGAAACAAATATTCCTTTAAGTCCTACCATGCCAAGTAGGTCGGCCATAAACCTGTCAGACTAATAGAAGTATACTCATAGTCCGAGGGCGAAGTAGTGCTGGTGGTGGTTTTACTGAAGTGTGACAGCGGTAATGTGTTTCTCTCAGCCTGACAACACTTTCAGTGATGCTGGCTTCTTACAACTGAAGAGGTTAGGAAAGCTCGATCCTAACAGAGTTCCACCTCACCTTACCCCACGGATCTCCCTCTCCGGCAGTGAGGGCCTCTAAAGCACGGAGCTAACACATTGCAAACTTCTGACAGGAAGGGCGTGTGTGTCTCCTCTCAAGCAGTTGTCTCTTGGACTCTGCGGTGATGCTCACAAGTCTCCACGACAACTACCAACTCAATTTCCTTTTCAGGTCTCCCGAGCAGATATATTTTTCCACGATGTGGACAACTGGGAAGTGATAGCCTTTGTCATACCCTTAGTGGCATTCGAGATGCTCGTGCTCACGATTAAATTCCTCCATCAATTCTTAATGTTCCATCTATCCCTGTGGACGACTAATGCTAACTATTCAAGTCGACGATATGTTATCCCTGATCTCTTAAAAACGCTCTCTAAACTACACGTTGGAGCTTGCAATATTCGGACATAGTGTCAAGCAGACCAACAGATTTCTGTAACTAGGACTCTAGTCTTCGAAACACAGATACAGAATTCAATTGTGGTCCGTTGACTTGACGTTACCTGTTTTTTACAGAGACCCATGATGATTTACCCTCCATGCATCTGGGACGTGACTGCCAACTCTCGCGACCTTTGATGGTATGGGTATTGCACTAATTCAACAGTAGATCAGGCCCTCTGAGACTGCATTGCAATGGATAGTTGCTTGTGGGACGTAAGAGCACTGAAAGATAGGTGAATACGCTTTTTTCTCTTAGTTATCTCTGTCTACGCTCCTACTAACTGGAACTCGAATGAATTGGAAGACGGATGTTATGGAAAACACTCCAAGTTCTTTCGAAAAGCCTAACTCTCAGACGTAGCAGGTGATTTTAGTGCTTAAGTAGTTAACTTAACGAGAGTGAAAGACATTTGTGTGGTTCTTACAGTGTCGCAACTCGGCTAACAATTAATACCAACCGGCTGATGGAACTATGTTCAGACAGCCGTTTATTCTTAAGAATCACCAACTGCAAGCGTAAGAAAAGACATCGTCTAACATAGTGATGCGCGAAATTGACTTAAAGATGAGCACAAACAGAATACATTATTGGAGTGGTCGACAGAAGACTGCCAATCACTATGGAGTACATTTCTTGACTCTAATCATGCTTGTTGCGAACACGTTTATTTGCGTCCTGCTGGGCTCAGAAAAGCTGCAATAAAAGGACCCTGCAGAGTACAAAATAAGTACGAACATGTCGAGAATGTTTCAAGAACAATTAGAAGAGCAGTTAATCAACTATGAGAATGATGTCCACCCCGATTTGGGCTGGCATATCATCTAGGTAGTCGTGAAAACAGCAGTAATATCTACCGGTAACTTCAACCAAAAGGTTAAGAAACATTAATCAATTTCCTTATCATTTAATAAACCAAAAGTTGCTCTGAAACTCATCCTGTTTTGCTTTGATTGTGGTGAAGAACAAAGCCAACTTAAACATAGACTGACAATGAGTCTGCACAATGACCATGAGGAGTGTTTGGCAGACACTTACTTACGCCTGTTACTCCTCGTAAAGGAGCATAAGCCGCTCACCAGAATAATCGATCCAACCTCGTCCCGGGCAATCCTTTCGAGCTCCTTCCAGTTGTTATTCATCCTTTCCATATCTGCTTTTGTTTCCCGACGTAATGTTTTCTTTGGCCTTCCTATTTTCCGCCTTCCTTCGGGATTCCAAGTTAGGGCTTGTCTCGTGATGCAGTTTGACGATTTGCGTAATGTATGTCCTATCCATTTTCATCGTCTTTTCCTAATTTTCTCTTTTGCAAGCTGGTTTGTTCTCTCTCACAAAAGGCTGTTGCTGATGGTATCCGGCCAATGGATGTTGAGTATCTTGCGTAGACAGCTATTTATAAATACTTGCACCTTCTTGATGATGGTTGTTGTAGTTCTCCAAGTTTCAGCTCCGTACAGTAGAACTGCCTTGACATTCGTATTGAAGACTCTCACTTTGATATTGGCTGAAAGTTGTTTTGAGTTCCATATGTTCTTCAATTGTAGGAATGCGACCCTTGCTTTGCCGATCCTCGCCTTTACGTCTGCATCGGATCCTCCTTGTTCACCGATGGTGCTTCCCAGGTATGTGAAGGACTCTACATCTTCCAGAGTTTCGCCATCAAGAGTGATTGGATTGCTGTTCTCCGCTTTGAATTTGAGGACCTTGGTTTTCCCCTTGTGTATGTTGAGGCCTACTGATGCAGAGACTGCTGCTACACTGGCTGTCTTTGTCTGCATTTGTTCATGTGTATACGATAGGAGGACTAGGTCATCTGCAAAGTCCAAATCGTCTAATTGATTCTGAGCTGTCCATTGTATTCCGTGTTTTCCTTCAGATGTTGAGGTCTTCATAATCCAGTCGACCACCAGAAGAAAGAGGAAGGGAGAGAGTAGACAGCCTTGTCTGACTCCGGTCCTTACTTGGAATGCATCTGTCAACTGTCCTCCATGCACGACCTTGCACTGTAGTCCGTCATATGACTTCCGGATAATATTGACAATCTTCTCAGGAACTCCGTAGTGTCGAAGAAGTTTCTACAACGTTCTCCTATCCACACTGTCAAACGCCTTTTCATAATCAATGAAGTTGATGTACAGTGACGAGTTCCACTCAATTGATTGTTCGACGATGATCCGTAGTGTTGCAATTTGGTCTGTGCACGACCGATCTTTACAGAATCCAGCTTGTTGATCTCGAAGTTGGGCATCTACTGCATCTTTCATCCGGCTCAGCAAAACTCTGTTAAAGACTTTTCCTGGTACTGACAGTAGTGTTATGCCTCTGTAGTTTTCACGTTTGCTCAGGTCTCCTTTCTTTGGAATCTTGATGAGGTGTTCTTCTTTCCAATCCATCGGCACTTGTTCCTCCTCCCAAATCTTTTTGAATAGACGGTGAAGCATGTTTGTAGTTGCTTCAATGTCTAACTTCAGTGCTTCAGCTCGTATATTGTCGGGTCCTGCTGCTTTCCCTCTCTTGATTTGTCTGATGGCCATTCTGATCTCTTCCGTCGTTGGTGGATTGACATCTATAGGAAGATCTGTGTGCGCTGCTTCGATGTCCGGTGGATTCATTGGAGCCTGCCTACTCAGGAGTTCCTCCAAGTACTCTACCCATCTGTTTCGCTGTTGTTGAATTTCAGTCATTGGTCTACCCTCTTTGTCCTTGACCGGTCTCTCTGGTTTACTGTATTTCCCTGGTAGTTTCTTCGTTGTATCGTAAAGTTGTTTCATATTTCCTTCCCTTGCAGCTTTTTCCGCCGTCGTTTCTAGTTCTTCCACGTATTTCTTCTTATCGGCTCTAATGCTTTTCTTCACTTGCTTGTTTGCTTCCATTCATTCAGTTCGTGCTTGGACTTTCTCTGTTCGTGTTCGGCTGTTGTTAATTGCTGTCTTCTTGTTCTTCCTTTCTTTGATCTTGTCCAGTGTTTCTGTAGAGATCCGTTCCTTATGATGGTGCTTCTTTAGACCCAGAACCTCTTGACACGTTGAAGTTAATGCTTCTCTGATACTTTTCCAGTTATCCTCCATAGTAGTTTCTTCTTCTTTCAGTAGATCTTGTAAGGCTTGGAACCTGTTGTTGAGAGCTATCTTGAATTCATTGAGTTTGTTAGTATCTCGAAGGAAGGCTGTATTGAACTTTTGTAGTGCTGTTTGTCCACTTGTCCAGTTCTTTTTTAGCTTCAGTTTTAAATTGGCTACAACTAGGTGGTGATCTGAAGCTACGTCAGCACCTCTCCTGGTTCTCACATCTTCCATTGTCCTTCGGAATTTTTTGTTAATGCAAATATGATCTATTTGGTTCTCTGTAGTGTGGTCCGGTGAGATCCATGTAGCCTTGTGTATACGCTTGTGTGGAAATATTGTGCCTCCTATGACCAATTTGTTGAATGCACATAGATTTGCAAATCTTTCTCCATTTTCGTTTCTTTCTCCCAGTCCATGTCGTCCCATAATATCTTCATATCCAGTGTTGTCTATTCCGACTTTGGCATTTAGATCTCCCATCAGAATGGTGAGGTCCTTTCTTGGGCATTTCTCAATGATTGACTGCAGCCGCTCGTAGAACTGATCTTTAATTTCGTCGTTGCTATCATTGGTGGGTGCATAACATTGGATAATATTCATTGTGATCCCCTCCTTCTTTGTTTTGAATGATGCTTTGATGATTCTGGATCCGTGAGATTCCCATCCTACAAGTGCATTTCGTGCTACTTTGGACAGCATAAGAGCAACTCCCTGAGTGTGCGGAGCATTTTCCTCTTCATGACCGGAGTATAGTAGCATCTCTCCCGTATTTAACCTTTGTTGTCCAGCCCGGATCCAATGGATTTCGCTGAGTCACGGTGTTGCCAATTTGTATCTCCTCATTCCCGTTGCTATTTGACTAGTCCTCCCGGTCTCCCACATTGTTCGAACGTTCCATGTACCTATAAAATCTTTTGCCCTGGTTGTTAGAAGGGGCGTCGGCCTCGTGGCTTCCGAAGGAACTCGGCTTTCACCATGAAGCGTCATAATTCTTCTAAATGAAGACCTTCTAACTTTCAGGGCAGAGTTAAAATGGTTTGGATTATTTTTTCTGGTAAGCGTTTTTTTAGCGAGTTAGTTTTCTACGGGATGGGGACGCTAACCCCATACCCAACCCTTCTCCTTTACCCGGGCTTGGGACCGGCAGTAACTCTGGGAGATCTACAGACGGAGTTGTTTGGCAGCTAAGGCAACAGCAATGGAAAAGGTGGCTGTGGCGACGGTGGTGATAAGCAACTGTAGACAACTTCTAAGAAACATAAGACAGGTGTAAAATATTCATGTTAGTGAGACTGTTTCTGAGAAGGATGTCAGAATGATTCACTATCAATTTAGATGACTGGAACGATAAACAGAGCATTTAGGGGAAGAGTTTGGTTACTCTCCAGTTACTTGCCTTTATCAAGTAATCTGAATCAGATGTCAGTAGACGCCCCTGGACTCATAAAAAAGTATAGAAAGCGATAGCGTGAAGTAGAACAGAACGAACTGCTGCGCACTATACTCGTCCCTTAATTGATGGACGGATATCTCGCCTTCGCCATAGGTGACACAAGTTGGCAAAAGCCAAACGAGCTTTTCGAATCCGTGCTAAGATTTCGTCCGATACCAGCCCATTAGGGCTGATCAGACTTCCAAGATAAGTGAAGTTGTCGACGCGTTCGACTACTTCACTCCCTATCCTTAGTTCAGGTGTTGACGCAGACCAGTCCTGAAGCAGCAGCTTGCATTTAGAGGGAGAGAAGTGCATTCCAAACATTCTGGCATTGTTGCTTAGTGCTACCAAAAGACTCTGCATTTTATCAGCGTCTTAACCAAACAGGACTATGTCATCTGCATATTCTAAGTCGATAAGTGGACCTCCTGGAAGGAGATCAATGCCCGGGAATTCAGTAGACGAGAATGTTATTTCCATCAGTAGGTCTATGATGAAGTTAAACAAAAATGGAGAAAGTGGACAGCCTTGACGGACACCACTTGAGGTTGCAAAATCAGATGACAGTTCGCCATAAGCTCTGACTCGACTGGCAGTGTTCGAGTAAAGAGCCTTCACAAGGTTTATGTACTTCTGAGGTACGCCTTTCAATGACAGACACTGCCACAGAATCTCGCGATCTACGGAGTCAAATGCTGCTTTTAAGTCAAGAGAGACCACCATTGTCGGACGCCGATAAGTATGCCTATGTTCTAGAACCTGACGAATGGTGAATATGTGGTCGATGCAGCCACGACCAGGTCTGAAGCCAGTTTGATTCTCTCGTGTTTGCAGTTCACGAGTCTTAGTTAGGCGTCTGATAATTATCGAGGCTAGTACTTTAGATACTATATTAGTTAAACTAATCCCTCTATGGTTGTCACAGGATGATTTTAACCCTCTCTTATATATTTGGACGATAAGTGATTGTGACCAGTCAGATGGAATAACGTCTAACTCCCAGATCTTAGCTAAAATATTAGTCAACCTAATCGCTAAAATTGGACCACCATCCTTAAAGACTTCTGGAGCCAATCCATCTGGACCAGCTACCCTTCCTCGTTTCAGATTAACTATAGCCTTTTGAACTTCTGCTAGAGTTGGGGGACCTACTTCAATGTTCCATTCACACTGTCTGGGAATGGAGGGTAGTTGTAGAGTAGCTGAAGGCCAGCTGAACTGTTCTCTGAAATGTTCCGTCCATCGTTCTAAACGTCTGGACTGGAAGCAGATGAGTGTCGTCTTTTTCCGAAATAGTTTGACTTACACTTGACTTATTAATTCCAGTTTCTTTTATTAGTCTGTAGAGCTGTCTGGTGTTACCTACAGCCGCTGCCTTTTCCATCTCTTTTGTTTTCGTTGACCATCACTGCTCACGGTCGTTCCTTAAACTTTTGGTTAACCTAGATCTGATTTGTTTTTGCTCTTCATCGTGTTCAGAGCCTGATGGGATGAGTTTACGAGAATCCATCAGTGCAATAGACCTTGAAGAAATCTATTGGTTCTTTGTAACCCTGTGGTTTAAATCACTGATAGATGTCACGGCTGTTTTCACAGTTGTTTGTATATCTTTCCAACCAGCATCTGGGTCAACCTTGTTTTCAGAACTATCTAATTGTGACCTCAGTTGTTCCTGGAACCTACTTTTGGTTTTCTCGCTACTCAATCCAGTTCTAAAGGGTTCTTTTTAGTGTGGCTTTTTTGCGTGTGCGTGCGTGCCCGTATTAGGGCATGGTCGGAGTCCAAGCAGGTACACCAGAATGAGCGGCAATCTTCGATCAACTCTCCAACGATGACTGATGGCAATATGGTCTATTTGAGTCCATCGTTGGTTTGGTGTAGGGGATCGCCATGTTAGACGATGTCTCTCTTTATGCTTAAAATTTGTGTTTGCTAAAAATAAACGATTGTCTGAGCACAGTTGCAGCAGACGACCACCATTATCTGTTCGTTGTGCCGGAATACTGAAATGCCCACCTAAATGCCTTTCTGTTTGGTTTAAACTACCTATCTGGGCATTAAAGTCACCTGCTACGAGTACTATGTCTGAGTGTTTAGCTTTCTGAAGAAGTTCAGATAGCTTTCTGTAAAATTCATCTTTCACTTCAAACCGGCTGCAGTTAGTAGGAGCATAGGTAAAAACAATGAAAATGCATTTAGGAGAAGAGTTTGGCTACTTTCCAATTGCTTACTTTAACAAGAAATCTGAATGAGATGTCAGCATAAGCCTCTGGAGTAATAAAGAAGTTTATTTACTTATTTGAACACATATATGTTGGCACAAGGAGGCACCAAATACATATGCGCCACATAAATCGAATGACAACTTGGAACGATGCATATATGTGCCTGGTCCTACGTTGTAGCTGACTGAGAAGGAGGCACCAAATATATATGCGCCACATAAATCATTCGATTTATGTGGGGGCTGTGATACTGCCCAGGTGCTCAAACGGAAGCAGGTGGTTTTCTCATGGGGCCACGTCGGTAGCCTTCTACCCGAAGGTCTGATCCACAAAGCAGTGGAGTAACATCAAGATATTCAGTCCCATGGTAGCCGGTGACCAATAGTTGGTTCGTACGCCATTTGTTCCTTCAGGATACTGGAGCCCATGTACACCATTGGTTTGGAATCAGGGTTTTCCAACTCTTAGGTGGACTCTCTATATCCACCAACCCGGTGAAAGCGCCTGACATTCGCTTTTCGTCCTCTCATTTTCGTAAACAATAGTAATGCCGTGAGAAGACAATGGGTAGAACTTCCCTGGCAGAGGCTATATACGCGTGGCCATGTGAGAGCATCTCGAGAGAGAGCTGACTTTCCCCACTCTTGTTCGTACCAGGGCATTTGGGGGATATTAAGAATTTGCTTTTTTTAACCTTGTTACAGACATTTTTTAGAGATGACACTTTCATCGTCTGAATTATCAGGAATCAATTTTTTTCCAAGAGATATACTTACTGACTTAGAATACGCAGTTGATACGGTTTGTTTGGTTAAGGTGCTCTAAAAATAACAGTCTTCTAACCACCTTATGGAACAGTGCAAGGATGTTTGGGCTTCTTTTCTCTCCATCCCAATGAAAAATGTTACTTCAAGGCCGGTTTGGGTCAACGCCTGGACTAGGGGTAGGGAGTGAAATAATTGAGTGTGTTGACCACTCCACTTATTTTGGTAGTCTCATGATCTTTGGTAGATTGATGTCAGACGAAATCTCGGTAGGAATTAAGAAAGGTCAGTTGACTTTTCTCATTTGACGTCACTTGTGGTGTACATGAGATATCCATTTGTCAACAGAAGGATGAGTATACTGCACAGAAATTTGTTCTGTTCTACTTTACGGGTGTGAAATATGACCTTTAAAAATAGAGAATGTTAGTAGGTTTCTAGTATTCGATCGATGGTGTCTTTGAACGATTGCTCGTATACTTTGGGACAACTGAATTAACAGTTCTAAGGTTCGACGCAGAATACTAGATGGGTATGGTAAATTGACTGACGAGGTAGTGAAACCTTTTCGGGTGAGATGGTTGGAACATATATTACGTTTGTCCATCCACCGACTACCTCGACACATGATTCTGGATGATGTAGGAGTATGTTGGAAGGAAGCTGGGAGTGAAAAACCAAGTACACGGTATCGGTCCATGAAAATATTGACTATTGAACTGAACCATATAGAGATGGATGCAGACGACCTGGATGGGGTATACGTGATTATCTTAACCAGTGGTTAGAGACTTTGAATGACATATCTTGATGGCACAGGTGCATTCACTCTTTATCTTCCCTTAGATCCTGAGTTTCTAAATCCCTAATAGTTTTCTTATTTTAGTAATTTGTGTTTTCCTTTCTTGTTGTACCTTCGATGTCTTATCTTTTCTGTTACTCTTAATCCTGTTACTATTTTTACTACACCGCGACTTAGCCTGAAACTTTCATTTTACTGTGCTGGTAGGGTGTGACGCCTTGAACCGATATTCACATGTACTAGGTTCTACGTTGTGTACGACTAACCGACTGACGAAGCACTTATTATCTCAGTTTTGAATATCAATAACAAACAAAATTATAACTTCTACAACCAACACTATAAATATTCGACAAAGTTATTTAGCATTCGGGTTGTTTTGCTATTTATCCGGTTGAATCAAAAACTTACTGGTTAAGTACAAAAATATGCAGTGGGTACATTATATGCGAGAACTTTTAACATTGGGAATGAAGATGATAATAATTTACTGTTTACCTTTAAAACTATGAAAATGTTATGTTTATATTAAAACATTAAAATTTTACTGGGATAATGGAGTTTCTATAATCTCAGTATTATAGTTAGCTCTAATGCCATGTTTGTTATTGTAGTTTTCTATTCAGTACCCTATCAAATGAGTCGTTTAAACGACTGTCTGTAAACATCCACTGATTATATAATCAGAAAAGGTTAACATGTTTGCTTTATCTTTCTTAAGTGAACGTTTTAATTCAACTGAGAAAATGTTTTCTGTAGATTCCTTCGAGTCATCGAACATGCAAATATGATAAACCGCATGTTGGCTAACCTTAATGAGAGGTTCGCACATCAGTCTGGATGACAGAATTTGGTCAAGTTTTGGGATTAAAAACAATGATGTTAATTAAAACTAAAGAGGCGTACTGCGATATGCATATGTCAGTCCTACAAATGGTTATTCTCTGTCCAAATAGCTCTGTGGCAACATTTTTAACTGTGACATACGTTTGAGTTTTAGAGGGGACATCTCTCTCAAGATTGCAAACATGCCTATTTAGTACGAGTGCCAACAAAGATGAAATCTGTCTATGGTTTATGGTGATTGCTTTCAAACATCTGACATCAAAATGCTAATAAAGATCTTTTCTCTGTTCTATTGTTACTGTACAGGTAAATGAGTTAATTTATTGTCATCTATCTAATCTGTAATTCAAAACCAGTCGACTTAGTTTCTCAAATTACTTTTAATAACATGAATTATGTAATTCAAACAATTAATAAAAATTGCTTCAATTACAAATAATATTTCTCATAGGACTACATATTTACTTTAAATTGATTATCGTTTTTATTCTCAAAATTCACAGAATTCTGGTTATTATATTTACACTTTGAAAAGACAATTGGAGATATCACACAAATGCCAGCTGTGCAATGGAGAGCTCAAAAGACTCTGCTCACTGAATACTTTGATAAATTCATATTAATGTTAAATAAAGAACAATAATAAACATTGCTGACATGATATGTATCACATATATTTTGTTTAATAATTAAAATATATTTAAGGAAGCCTTTTGTAATTTAACTTATGTATTTATATTTGTAAAGAATTTTAATTTTGTTGGACTATAGATTGGTTTGTTTAACTTTACCTATATTATTCCTTTCGAAAGTGTTTTGTGATCTTTCGATAAGTGATTAGTTCACAAATACGTAAGTAACGACACTAGAGATTGTCTTGGATGAGAGGGTGGCATCAATACTTTTACAGTTCTTTAATTATACAGAAACGTTTGGTTTATTATAGGACTGACGGTTAAATGATTGAAGCATTTAGCTTTCAAGTATAAGGTTCAAATACCACCATGTTTACTTCGATTTCGAGTACATAAACCATTTAATTGATAAATAGTTTGCGTTAAATTTTAATTAGAATTGTAGCCTTCGTACATTCTGCAAACTAAATTTACGAGTTTCTCAAGAATCATTTATGTAAGTTATCCAAGCTTAATCATTACATTTTATTGAGAATGATTATTAAATAATCACATGCTTAACTGGTAGAATGCGAATAAACGCCTACGATTATCATATTCGAATGTGTATGACCCATTCGTACTATTCAGATCGATGATTACTATTCTCTAAGCCTGAATATCCTGCTTCATAGTGCATATTATTAATGTCCCTGGAAAATTTGAATATCCAATAGTTCATCTTTGAGTTCAGTACTTAATTACGCCTGTTACTCCCAATGGAGCATAGGCTGCCGACCAGCATTCTACATCCCACTCTGTCCTGGGCCTTCCTTTCTAGTTCGATCCAATTGTTGTTCATTCTTCTCATGTCTGTTTCCATTTCTCGGCGTAATGTGTTCTTTGGTCTTCCACTTTTCCTTCGACCTTGAGGACTCCAATTGAGGGCTTGACTTGTGACACAGTTGGGTGCTTTCCTCAATGTGTGTCCTATCCACTTCCAGCTCTTCTTCCTGATGTCTTCGTCTGCTGAAATCTGGTTTGTTCTCTCCCACAGTAGGTTGTTGCTGATAGCGTCTGGCCAATGGACCCGAAGTATTTCGCGTAGACAACTGTTAATAAACACTTGTATCTTCTGGATGATGGCTTTCGTAGTTCTCCAAGTTTCCGCCCCATACAGTAGAACTGTCTTGACATTTGTATTGAAAATCCTGACCTTGGTGTTGGTTGGAAGACAGTTGTTTTGAGTTCCAGATGTTCTTCAGTTGTAGATATGCTGCTCTTGCTTTGCCGATCCGCGTCTTCACATCTTCATCGGATCCACTGTGTTCATCTATGATACTGCCCAGATGTGTAAAGGATTTTACATCATTCAAAGCTTCTCCATCAAGTGTGATTCGATTGGTGCATGCTGTGTTGTATCGGACAATCTTGCTTTTCTCTTTGTGTATGTTGAGACCTATTGCTGCTGCTACCCTGGTCGTCTTCTCCTGCATTTGTTGTTGCGTGTGCGATAGGAGAGTCAGATCATCTGCGAATTTGAGATCTCCCAGCTGCATCCTAGCTGTCCACTGTATCCCATGCTTCTCCCCAGATGTTGACATCTTCATGATCCAGTCAATCACCAGGAGAAAGAGAAAGGGTGAGAGTAAGCAACTTTGCCTGACACCGGTCTGTACTTCGAACGAGTTTGTCAACTGTCTTCTATGCACGATTTTGCAGTTTAATCCATTATAGGAATTCCGTATGATATTGACTATCTTCTCAGGTACGCCGTAGTGTCGAAGAATCTTCCATTGTGTTGTTTGAGTACAGTACAGTATACTGATGAAAATGAGAATCTCTTACCGTATAATGGCAGTACGTAGCTCTTTCATTAGTTCTGATGGCGCTTTTTATCGCTTCAAGTGGTTGGAACGCCACAAGATACAATGTATTCAAGAATACATTATCTGTTTCTGTGACAATGTGAGAAACTATAGAGCTTGTACTCTGTACGTTACTATCGTCCATGATTTTAAGAAAAGGTGCTCTGTCTACAAGTACTGACATATTATATCAATTTAAAAAATAAACAACCAATTATAACGAATTTAAAACTAACCATTTAATTGGACGAAACGAACTGAAAATTTTTTTTAAAGGGATGAAAAAAAAATACAAAAACTGTCGTGCGTTCAATGCTATTCAAAATTCACCGTTAACATCAAATTATGCAATAACATGTAATTGTGATTGCGAATTTCAAAGATGTTTACGTGTTTACGAATAGATGGTATACAAAGTTGGGTTTTTTTTAACTATGATAATGAAACAAACGGGATATCATTCATACTACTTCGTCCTAATCATTTATGAAATTCAAGAAATTGTTGTGTATGTCTACACATCTTAATACTATTGTGTATCACGTGGTGGCTACTGTGGCAAGCCCATTTAGCCACTGTATCATTTGTCTACTCATTGTAACTCAAACACTTAATTCATCATGTTAATTTCTGTGTGCATTTCAGACTCTTAATTCACTATGTTAATTTCAGTGTGTATGATCGAATACATGTCTGTACATTAACCCTTAAGCTATCCTCCTATTGGTTGCAATGTGCAGATAATCGATAATTTATCCACACCCGATTAACTCTCAAAATTATATATGGATTTTAGACCCACACATTCACTTTGTTTCATCGTGTGCTTGCTCGCCGTACGCTTGCGGATTTTTATAAATCATTAATAATAAATTATCTCTACAACTGGTGTTCAGGCTTTTGAATAATCTCGCGTAAAATCCATAATTCTACCAGGAGATTTAGCCTATATTAAATACTCAGTTAACGGGATATTATTTATTGGAGTCAGATATAGAGGACATTAGCCTCAACACTACTCTAAATTCTACCGATTGACCGACTTTAGATATCCCAGTACGACCCCAATACTGTTCACCCAATCTCCAATATATCAGAACACGAACCGTTAGAAGAAAATTGTTTATGGGATCAGGAGAAGAGGAATAATACTTTACAGACAAATACAAATTTACACAGTTAGGACTACCGTGAATATTGACCGATAGGAAAATGACACATGAAATAAATATTGACCAGTAGTGAAACGACACGTAAAATAAATATTGGCCAATAGGAAAATGACACCATTTCACGTTCAAGGATAGCATTGGACTTAACAGAATCACTTTTGGGATATTTTTATGAATATCTCAACAAATACACCATAAATTTCCGATCAGTCGAAGTAGTGGATGACGCCTAATCTCATCATCAATAATGAAGACCAACTGAAGTAATAAATAAAATGATGCACATATTACGAAGAAGTGAAGATGAGACTTTGGATTTTGTAGACTTTCAAAACCGTTCTTGCAGATATTTTAACTCATTTCAGAACTCTCCAATAGTGCACACTCATAGGTGCATGAGATTGAATTAGGGAAAGCTAAGTGTTGAGATATATATCAAAACCTTTAAATCTCTTAACCAGAGTTCCGGTGATCCACATTTACAACTTCAGTCAATGCTCAATGTAACAGGAATATTATCCATTAATGTTGATAAGTAATTGTTTTATTTTCGGAATCGATTGACTCTGAGTCACAATGTTTTACCAGAAGTTTGAGAAACTTATTTGCATGCTAATTATTAACTAGCATAGGATTATTGTTTAATTAAGTCGTTTATGGAAACCTGTCTTTCAGCTGATATCAGTTTGTAATGAGAGTCAATAAATTGAACTAACTTCCACTATCACTTAACAAGCCATGTTTATTTGATATAGTTGTTATTGTGTGAACACATTCATGTCATAGGTGACTTATTCGAACATTGAAAATTGTTATGTCAGCTTGAGTTTTCTCTACACCAGGTTTTATTGATTGTCAATGAACTTTCTCAAATTATGCTTATTTACAGTTAACTTCTATCGCACACGCAACAACAAATGCAGGAGAAGACGACCAGGGTAGCAGCAGCAATAGGTCTCAACATACACAAAGAGAAAAGCAAGATTGTCCGATACAACACAGCATGCACCAATCGAATCACACTTGATGGAGAAGCTTTGAATGATGTAAAATCCTTTACACATCTGGGCAGTATCATAGATGAACACAGTGGATCCGATGAAGATGTGAAGACGCGGATCGGCAAAGCAAGAGCAGCATATCTACAACTGAAGAACATCTGGAACTCAAAACAACTGTCTTCCAACCAACACCAAGGTCAGGATTTTCAATACAAATGTCAAGACAGTTCTACTGTATGGGGCGGAAACTTGGAGAACTACGAAAGCCATCATCCAGAAGATACAAGTGTTTATTAACAGTTGTCTACGCGAAATACTTCGGGTCCATTGGCCAGACGCTATCAGCAACAACCTACTGTGGGAGAGAACAAACCAGATTTCAGCAGACGAAGACATCAGGAAGAAGAGCTGGAAGTGGATAGGACACACATTGAGGAAAGCACCCAACTGTGTCACAAGTCAAGCCCTCAATTGGAGTCCTCAAGGTCGAAGGAAAAGTGGAAGACCAAAGAACACATTACGCCGAGAAATGGAGATAGACATGAGAAGAATGAACAACAATTGGATCGAACTAGAAAGGAAGGCCCAGGACAGAGTGGGATGTAGAATGCTGGTCGGCAGCCTATGCTCCATTGGGAGTAACAGGCGTAAGTAGTATCACATCGCACCATTTAAATTGAGCTAGTAGTGTGAAATGTAGAAAAAGAAGCCGATAATGGTGTATATATATATATATATATATATATATATATATATATATATATATATATATATATATATATATATATATATATATATATATATGTGGAAACAAACACAAAATTGAAGCATGCGGCAAAATAACTTTAGACGATAACAACAACACTTTCATGATAAATCTGTAAAAAACATTGAAGAAAGATAATATTATGTTTGTAAGTAGCATTTTCATGCAATCTTTTCTTTTTTTGTGAATGTGAGTAAAGCCAGAACAACAATTAACAATAATCAATTCATAAAGAGAACTTGTTGTCATGTATATAGTTTGTTTAAATATGTATCGGTCAATAGGGTTTATTTTTCAAATAGCATATGATTAGATTTTACATGATAAAAATAAGGGAAATCACTGAATAAACTTGTTTACCCACTTGTTTAGTTACTTTTTTAAAAAAATTTATTTAAAAAGCTGATTTATCTGTCTTTTTGAAATGCTTCATTATCATATTCCTTTGTTTGATAATTATCAGATTGTTCGGTCTTTCTTGATGTGGTTATTAATTGTGCTGTTTCTTTGTTCAGCTGTTCATTATTTTTATCATTATGTGTTATGATTGTAGATGATTCTTTTTGTTTTACAAGTTGATTAAATAATTGTTGATTAATATTGTTTAAATGATTTTCATCACCATCATTATCATCATTGTGTGCTATATTGTTTTTCAAACCAATACAAGTACAAATATAATGAACTTTGGCGATAATTTCATCTTTCATTAAATTTAAACACATTGATAATAAAGCTAATCCAAATAGTAAATATAAACCACCGACAAGTAGTTCAGTTGCAGTTTTAGGCTACAATGAAATGTTTCATTGTTTTTGTATCGTTTGTTTGTTTTGTTTTCAGATAAATAAATGGGGATTTATTAGTAAATATATGATAACAGTCAATCTTTATATATATATATATATATAACTACAGAAAATAAATAATAGTTTGTTTTCAATTAAACTAGACAATATGATTTAGTATAAAGTTTTATGTTGATTTTTGTCAATGATTGACTCTAACTGTGGAGAGGGGTACTATTAAAAATCAAGTGGGATTAGACAGGTATTGTATCCTAGTTAATTTCGATTCCAGTAACCATGACAAAATTGTTGGATTAACGCGCATTTGGTGAAGTATATAAACTGACCGGTTTTATAGATTAGATGGAGTTTTCGAAAATTGTTCCACCAGGCGACTTCAAATCTAATACATTTTATATAGCCTCGATACAAATGGCCTAAGCTACCAAGTTACTGGTACACAAGCATGAGCTATCGTGACTGACCAGGTCTATGTGATTATATATTTGTTCATCGGATTTCGGAGAGCTTGGTACATGATGTATTTTTAAGTGTTTCTCGATGCTTAGGAAAGCACCTCCTAACATAGTTCAATAAAGGACATTACAGAATTATAAAATTGTTTGTTCTGTAACATGTTGTTAACTGTAACCATATAAACATCCAATAATTATCGGTCTGCTGATATATTCATTATTCCATTTTATCCATTAATATAAACTGTACTCTATAAATTCCAACCATTATACATATGTATACACTAACATATCCAATTCACTCATAACAGCAACTGTTTTATATAAATGAAATTGTTAAAAATAAGAATTTTTCCTAGCTAAACTATTTATTTTATTGATATAAACAGTCGGATTACGAATACATTTAGTTGATTAGTTCAGAGGAAGAGATATCTTGATTCCTTACTACTAACTACCATTGATAAAAATATAAATATTCAAGTAGATGTAACACGTAAAACGATGTAATTCATCATTGCTTTACAGAAGTGAAATGTATACGACAAAATTACTGTAAATATAGTTGAGTTTACACCAATTATAAAGATTTATGTACATTTGCTATTTCTTAAAAATCATGTTTACCGAGTTAGCTTTGTGAAGATTTGATTACAAACTGATTTCATTTAGGGAATTATTAAAGATACGGAAAGAAAACTAGATAGCTGTTTCAACTTATCTGCAAACATTTATAAAACTACATAGAACCCAATAGAGAAACTATGATAGTTGTTGTACTAACATTATCTGGTACTAATGTATCACTATTTGAGTAGATGCTGTGATCAACGTCAAGGTCTCAATAAATTATAGACAGTAATCAATCAACCTATATCGCTAGTCGCTTTCTTGATAATGGTCTGAATACACATCAGACACTGCACCTTTTAAAAAATTAGGTTATCATCAGTATGACTAAGAGAATATTTTACAACGTAAAAATATTCAAAATTTCTTTATATAATGATTTAGCCATGGATTTACATTAAAATGCAACACAGGTTATACGACTGTATTTTGTTTCTTTTTTTTTTAACAAAAAAGGTCGTAAGATGTATAAATGAATTTACCTCAGTGAATCTTCCATTCCCTGGAACTAAATCACCGAATCCAATTGTTGATATTGTAATAAATGAGAAGTAAGCAGCATTAGCTGTTGACCAATCTTCCCATGCTGGAAATATCACAGCACCAATTAATGTATATATAGATAGGACAATAACACTGACTGTCAATGGAACATGTAGTTTTTCCTCTTCAGCGTTCTCATCTTCGTCGTCACATTCATAATCGTCATCATAATCATCTTGGGTATTCGACTGAACCTTAGTTTTATATAAGAAAATAACACAATATTTAGATTTGCTGGGGCGACATGAGAACGTCAGTCACAAAAATAGTCAAGGTTAAATAGCCATAAGAATACTGAAATGATGGAAAAAGGTCGAGAAAAAAATTCACATTTCTCTTGTATGTTAAACAGGAATGAAAGGGATAATAGTATCATTGAGTGAAATCAACAAGTTTTCTAAGTGGACTAACCTGAACAACTGAGATGTGTAATGCCTATCGTTAATTTGTTTATCTCAATCAACTTTAGATTTACATATCACTTTCTGTTTTGACATATAACTGTTTGATTGATATCTAACACAGAAAAAATGCTTTATATTGTTTATAATTTCTTCAATAATGTTTAAACTTGAAATTGAAGTGTACTACACTTGTACTATCTGAGTGAAATATTTTAACTTCAATCAGTTTATAATATCGACTCCATTCTTACTTAGAACTTATTCGTACTGTCAAATTGTAGCATATATCAGTTTACATTTTTATTCATAACTAATGCTAATGACAAATTACCAACTGGTGTAAATTATTTATATAATGTCAGTTATGTAGTGTTGGATGTTTGAAATCAGTTATCACTTTCAAGTCTTTTTTTCTCATTGGTCATCTTATAAGTTGTGTTTTTTTTTCTTTCAAAATTCAACAAAACTTGGTAATAAGTAGTAAAACGTATATTTTTCTAGATGATTTCTACAAACAGTAAACATAAAGCATATTTATTCACGGGAATTCTCACGTTGTTGGATCTTGGGCTTGCTTCTACTTTTTGACAGAATGAGAGCAGAACCACCATTGGTCATACACTGAAATTCCTAAATATAATAAGCTAGGAGACATCAGAGCCGGACCGTCCTCATTATGATGTACACTGGATAATTTCCTATACTAACTGATGTTGTGACGGTTTAAAAACCGTAGAAACTTAGTTTGAGAGACGCTGGCCTTCACTATATATAAATCAGTTTCATTTTAGGCACAAAAACTCATATGAATATTGAGATAAGTAAAACTTCTAATCGTATGCTGATAGTCAATATTAAAGTTTAGTGTAGGTTAGTGCTAATCTTGCAGAAGTGGTGAACATCTTGATAGTTCAGAATACATACTATACTTGTGAATGGCGATCATCAACGGACTGAAAATGGATTTGGTAACATGTTGATCACCACACATGAAGACGATATCATCCGGATCCTCTAGATCAAAAAGTCTTTCCCCAAAAAATAATGTTAAGATGTTTTATTTCCAAGTTGTTTGGATTCTACTGATCAAGTATGTCGTTTATTGATCTAGCTTAATCACTTTATTAGTATTTTAGAAACTTTGGCTGTTCTTCAGTAGTCGACCAACATAAATGATTCAGTCCTAAATGGATCCATTCATTATATGAACAGGGTATTGACCAATAGGATTCGATCAATATAAAGACTAAACGACATGAAATTTACCAAAGATTATGCTTCTCGTTGTTGACATCTGCATTCTGAATGTATTGCCCTCGTGTTGTACAAATTAGTGGCTATCTGAACTCAGTAGCATAGTTGACATTTGTAGCGATACATTCTGAGTTTGAGCAGCACTGTATGATCATCAATACAGGAAATGCGGAAATATCTAGCTGATAAGTATCAGATCGAATAAAGCGTATATCCTGAATACCTCTTTTAGCTACAATTCAATTCCATTAAAACACAGCTTTTAATACAATTAAGTGGTTAGTATATATGCCAACGATTTGGTCGTATAGGATACCGTTAACAGCAAGGATAACTCAATAGTAAAATCTTTGACTGTGGTACTGGGTGATTTACGTTCAAATATCAAAGAGAACACCATCTCATTCAGTATTTCAGATCTGTCAACTAAGATGCCTACAATCACTTAATATCCTCATACATTTCAACATTAAAACTTTGTTCTCATTTATCATGATTATTTTACAAAAAAACTCTTCATCTATTTGTATATCACAACTTTTATTAATTCTAAACTTTTCTTACTATCGTTCATGGCTTCCTAGTGATTTGGACAAACATCTCTTGGATTATTGTTTGATAAAGATCTCAAGAGAAATAAACTTTTTCACCAGTCATTAGTATATATGAGACAAACTATGTTAAAATTCATTCGTTCACTTAAAAGACAAGAGAAGCTAACAATCCATTGAAAATGCACAATAGCGAATACAAAAACCAGAGGAAAACACGAACCAATGGACGTCTAATAAACCAAAGAAAAAACAATCATAATGTTCTAAAGTTATGTTAATTAATATAGGCAGCAAGAAGAATAATTAGAAATCAACACTACTACTACTACTGTTACTGCTGCAGTGAACGAAAACACTAGTTGGGACAACCAAATGACTCAGAACACGCAGTTACAGAATCTCTTAGTGAAATCTAAGAACCATGCAGTAAATATTTCATTTGCAAAATATCAATCAGTTGTCTTACACTTGATTGTTCCTTCGTTTCCATACCAGTCACTCTCTGTTCTCGTCCTCTTCTATTCGATCTTCTTAACTTTCTGCCTTCAGGCATTTCACTTTCGATTGGTGACACATACTACTTATATCTGTGGGCATCAGTAGCACACACCACATTATTAATGGGCGGCCTGCTTGAGCATCTGGGCTACCTGTTCCTGCCATCTAGATATTTCAACAAGTTATCTATTTTTGTTTGTTTTAATATATCATTATGTCTTTTAATCGCATAACCTATTCTGCTGCGTTTCTGAAAAGTGTACAACCTTTCGTTGTCAAAGTTACAAAAAAATCAATAAGAGACAATGTGGTTGCTGGCAATATACAACGAAAAGAATGTACATTATTCAGATGTTCATTTAGTGAACTGCTAACATCTAACTGGCTATCACTCAATATTTATCGCCAGGACCGACCAAGAAGAAAGAAACGGAAACTTGTTGAAATACTTTGCACTGAGAATTCTATATTGTACCAAAAATATAATATTGAATAAAGCTGATGATAATAATAATAAATAATAAAATTCCCATTTATGAATATCATTACTATTTAAACTTGTAGACGTTACTATTTTATAGTGAGAATATCCTATATCCTCTAAATTACTTTTTTCTCAATAATGCTATTTATGTTCATCACCTACTTTATTTCAAATGATATTTTGAAATTTTTCATTTCCTTCTAATTAACTCTATTACACACATACTCTTTCTCTGTGTTTATGTGTAGAAGTTGAGACACATCAAGTTCATTCCTAAGATATGATATTTTGCTATTGCTTTCCTAATTCTTACAACAACACTGTCATTTCTTTTTTCTTCTACATAAATTTATTCCCGTCTTTTAGAGAAATTGTTAGTTGTATTGTCAGGGAAGTGGGTCGACATAGATGGCCACCTACAGAAATAAAAGGAATAGAATTAAATAACTTTTTTATAACTGTCTAATATCTAGAGAAAGTTTTCATTGTGGACTAAAGTTATAAAAAGTCATCAAGAGGAAGAGAGCTTTCTCAACAGAGAGTGAGAGGACAGTAAAAAGTTATTGAGATAAGAGTTCTGCTAAGATTGTTTCATTTTAAAGATGATTTTCCACACAAACTGACAATAGACAGCTTCATAGTTTTTAATAGTTCTCCAAATGTTGTTAATAATAAAATTTGATTTTATAATGAAATTTTATTTTGTCATATTTAAGCAGAGATGGATGTTGGTTAGTAGTAGAATCCAGGAGGTGCGTTTCGTCCTATTGAGGACTCTTCGGCTGAATATACATGCATCCCACAATTGATGCTTATTCCAGGACTAAAATCGAATATCGTTGACCTTAACCGCCATGGCGTTATCCACTTAGCTACTGAGTCTGAATATTGACTGAGTTGTGCAATGGGACAAATTTTAATTCATATGTATCAGGCGTTTGAACCGTGTTATTTCCTGATAAGCATAATGAATGGTAACTTTGGGACCCAATTATGGACCAATACTAAACGTATATTTTTATCGTATAATTGTTAAATAACTAACCTGTTCAGATTCATGTCCCTCTTATTATGTACTTTATTTTGACCTATGAGCTATTATGATACGTTTCACCATTCTTGAATTATGCCCTGTCTATTAATCACTACCTCCCACGTTCACAGCCCCATTTGGCCAAATATTGTACAAATGTTACTTTCTATTTTATGGTACGTTGTGGTCTATTTGATTGGTATATAAACTCAGTATGTTTGAAACATTTAATATAACACATAAATGATTGATGGTCCACCAGGGTGCATGGTACTTGTGTGGTTGCACCACAGGATTGAGCTGTACTATTCAGATTGTACCGTTAAAGCCTATATGGTGTCTGGCTCTCCTGTGAAGCGAGATTGAGCTGTACTGCTCGGGTTATAAAGTTTGAGCCTGGATGTTGTCTGGTTCTCCTGAAAACCAATGTAAAATTACTCAGGCCTACAACGGTATATATATATATATATGATTGAGAAAACAACTACAACCAACTCTAACAAGCAAAAAGAATAATTTTCAAGCACAATGCACAAGTTGACTTTTAGTGAGCTAATAAATTATTTTCATTTTCTGAAGTTCATTTATTCATGTTAAATCGTTTTAGTTGTTATGGTTGTCATAGTAACATAAATTTACCTTGTGTTATTTTAATCACATTCTTATAGAAAATATATTGTTAAAAAAGAGTAAAAAGGAAAACGGTTACTTCAACGTTTCTATATATTTAAACAATCAAGTTAGTTATTTTCTTCTGTTTTTACTAATACAATAAATAATAGAACAATCAGTATTACGTTTAAAATGTTATTTACTTGTGCACTAACACGGGTGCACACGTATGAGAGAGAGAGTGGAGAATAACCTACAAATCTTAAATTCTATTGGTTAATTTAGCGGATCTTTCTTTTCGAGAGATAGTAACAAACTTATGGAATAAAGAAAACCCTCTGTTATTAGTGAACAA